TGCCGTAAGGCACTAGATCTGAGATGGAGTAAGTTTCAAAGAAATGCAAGTCTCCTGAAGCGTCAGCTGACTTGGCAGTATGCCTTTTACCCTTCTATTGTCCATCTATACAGCATATTTTTTCTGTATTTAACATTTAGCATGTGATGCAGTTTCACATAAGATATGTTATCAACATAATTTTCCTATTTCACTTTGCTAGGTTTAATGGCCACCTAGGAAAGAAGGGGATTAGTGGAAAAATCATAGTCAATTACGAAAAGAAGACCCTTTCTGTCGAGGTGAGTTAGATGCTTACCATGATATGTTTGTACTTATACAATGTGTGTGGCCGTGTGGGTGTGTGTTTAATGCTTTAACTTTAAAATATCTAATATTTTGAGGTCCTGTTTGGTTCAGAATCTGGTAGGAGTTTTGGATGAACACTCATAGCTTCCTGGAGGTTTGATATATAAAAACTGTCCTCATTTGAGGTGTTTGATTCAAAATTAATGGAACAAAACCACCTAGGGGTGGGCAAAAATATGAATACAGAATACGACATTATTCCAAATGAAACCGATCGAGAAGTATGTTTTTAAATGGTTCTAGTAAATTATATCCCAAACACTATCATTCCAAAATTAGAATGGTACGGGATGGATTCTCAAAAAATGAGAACCGAAAATCACGAACTGGACCATTACTATTAAAATGTTAAAATAATCAACTAATTATACTTTTACGTTTGTGATGGTATGCAGATTGAGGACTGAAGAAGATGCTTTACAAGAAAATGTTGCAAGAGCAAAAGATGAATTCAATAATGTTGTCTGTCAGGTATGGCGATGGCCTTTTAACATTTTTCATCTTTGATCATCTTCGTCTTATATAGGTCTAGCTTGCATCATGGTGAGTTTTTATCTTATAGAATAATATGCACCTATCCTTTGTGTTTACATCATAAATACTAATTTTATACTAGTTTAGATTGAGGAAAATGCAAAAAAACTTTCTGGTATTCGTAGTCACATTCGTGAGCTTCAACTTAATCAAAGCAGCAAGGTAAATATAATTTTTCATACACTTAATTCTTGTTTTGAACTTCTTGGGTGGGAGAGATTTGAAGATTCAAATCCAATGGGACGGAGGGAGTATAGTTTGGATTCTTTTAGCTTGCTTATGTAGAGACATGCACATATATATATATAGAGACATGCTTATGTAGAGACAAGCACACACACACACAGATATATATATATATATATATATATATATAATCTGTGTTGGCTGAATTTTGCAAAGCAATGTCTCATCAACTGCTGGTGAGCTGGGTAAGAGTTGTATATTGAATTACTTACTATTCAACTTTTTCTAAATTACTGTCTTGTTTGGACTGAGGGATTACTGTTGGTTGCTCTCCAGAATGTTGATAATGTTGAAACTTAGCTGCATTGTTTGTATTTTGGCGTATATATTTTTTGCTTCTCTTTCTTTGATCACATCCTTCATTTCTTCCTCGAACATCAAGAGATATATCATTCTGATGGGCAGAAAAGGATTAATGAGTTGAATGAACAAATAACCAAGAAGAAAGCACAAATTGCAGCATTAATGGAGAAGACACTAGAATTTAGATCTAAGAAGGATGATCTGAAGCACAATATTTCATTGGTAAGTTGTCCCCATAATATTCTCTTCCCCTGGTCAGTGTTAAAGTGAGCAAGTTCTCAATTGACGGTTGGGTCATGGGCTAACTTTGGGAACCCTTTAAGAACCACGTTGTGTATTGCCTGCAAAATGGTACTTCCTCCTTTTATATATAGTTGTAACATTAGAAAATTCTTGTTTGCTAGTGCACAAATTAAATCATTAATATCTTCAATTTTGTTTAAGTTGAAACTATAAATAAGGATAGCATTAAAGTTTCTTTCAAGATGAATCTAACATGATCCCACATTACTAACGTATAAATCACACAAGATG